GAAACCTGACCAGCCTCGGTCTACCTCCGGATCTTCGGCATTCGTCGCCGGTAAAAGCAATCGGCCATGGTATTGGAAGCCATCTCGGCAAAGTATAAGTGCCCGCCCGATCACTGAAAATCTGTGCCAAGCTGAGGTATGCAGCTCCCTCCGGATGCCTGCCCACAGCCGCAGCACTGCTGCTGCCTGCTGCTGCCTCAGACAGCAGAGCGTGGCAGTACACTGCAACGTCTCCCCTCCCGCTCGTCTCCCTTATCCCTTCCTCTCCTCAGCATTTCGCGTCATCACTCAGTTTTTGCTTACTCACAGATTTGCAGCCCTATGCGACGGGACATTCGATACAGACCGGACCTTTGGGGTCTTCTGCAAACTATGCACTACTCGCAAAAACATAAGAAAAAAATTAACAAATTACTATAATGAAAAAAATATTGCTTTAATAGTGCTATTCAGGTATTGTTCACGGTTTCAGTACCAGAGAGAGCAACTCCAAAATAAAATAGCAGCGTCTGGGCACAGATACGTTGCAGCTTACAAGTGAAGATAAATAATGTATTTGTTCTGCACATCGATTAAGTTAGAAAAGGTTTTTATGAAATAAAATATACGGAACTTACTGCTATCCTGGCAAGCGCCGTTTTGATAGATGCCCAAGTGTCCAGCCTTCGGTCTAAAATAACGATAAATTTGACTCCAGGTTGCCTCGTTCTGCAAGCAGTAATAGGCATTTGTATAAGTCTGTGCAATGATTGTGAATTTATTGTTTTAGAGCACATAGATACAAAATAAGCAAACATAAACAAGCACATATTTGGTACTGTAATTCCATATTATTCCATATTATCTAAAAATGTTTGTACCAATAAAAATCAAAATCATGTGTGAGGGAAAAGAAAGACCTTTATCTGATTTAAGCTTCCTTAATCTCTTGAAAGAATGAGGCTTAGAGGACACCAGAAAGGACATTTGACCCTGAGATGATGAAGGCCAGTTCAGCTGTGCTCAGAATACAAGCAACTGAGGTTTTGGTGCACTGCAGTGAGTGAGAGAGTCATAAAAAAAAAACCGAGCGAGAACACACCGAGGGATGAGAGTGAGGTAGGTAAAAACTTTGGCTAGAGCTTCCTCTGGAATGTCACTGAAAGCTGAGCATTCTGGGAGGGTGATGATAACGCTGGAGTCTTCCCCACGGCCCCCTGGGAAGCACAAAAAGCAATGACTATCTTTCAAAGATACGAGATGCATAACAGTAAGGAAATGATTAACAAAACTCACCTGAGAGGTATGCTACCTGTTTCTCTATATAGCCTCCCACTTCCTTCATGCTCACAGGCACAGTCACCTCTGCAAGAAGGTCAGAAAAATCTAAGCTTTTAGGAAAGCAGTGCAAAAATATAAACAAGTAGTCACTTAAATGTAAAAAACAAAAACAACAAAACAAAGCATGGATTTGTTTTGTGCTTTATCCTTAGAGCACCCGTTTGGTATGTATCTAAATTAAAAAGAAGTTAGTTGCATAATTTTTTGCTTTACTGGATAATACCACAGTGGATTTTCAGTGGAAATCAACCCATGATTGAAGTGCAGACTTTTAACTTTAATTTTAAACAAAAATTTGATATTAACTGTTAAGGGATTACAGCCGTTTTTACACATAGTCTCCCATTTTCAGAGGCTAAAAAATAATTAGTATTTAGTATAAATAGTAATCAGCATAAAATAATTTTTTATACTGCTTTGCAGTCACGAGTCATCTGTTTGGGTAAAAACATAGCTTCCATGTTGAGTTAAATAAACAATCAAATGTGACAGATTTTCTAGAGCAGAACAACATATTTTCTATTTTGTGTGTGTGAAGATTTTCTTCTTCACATGATGAGCCCGATTGGATTGTTAAGGATTGTTTTTAATACTGAAAATCTTTTGCAGCCTTTACTGCAGCCACCTTCAGCTCCCGCTTGTTTGTGGGTCTTTCTATGTTCAGTGTTTTATTCTAATAACTGAAACGCTTGTTCTATTGGGTTGAGATCAGGTGACTGATTTGGTCAGCGTAGAATACTTTTTTTTTTTTCATGAGCTGTTTCTCTCCTCCATACTTTTCTCTTCCCATCACTGTGAGACAAAGTGCGCCGTAGTATCATCTGTTCAAAGCTCTTTTTGAATGAACTTGCAGACTTTTAGAGTCTAATCTGAACTTCCTGTAACAAGTGGTTTTTACCTGGTTGTAAGTGCTTTGTATTTTCATCCATGAAGGTGCCTCTTGATTGTACACTTTGACAAGGACACTCCTTACTCCTCAAGAGTGTTCTTGACTTTGTTTGATTTTATGTAGTCGTGTATTTTGAACATGGAAATAATTCTGTGATCATGCATTCATGTCTTTTTGGCCTCATATTTACAATTACCATGTAAAGCTGTAAAATACAAATTCAACACGCTGAATAAGGTTCAGATATTATCCCTGCTTCATTGTCATCTAAAAAAAACAACAAGAAGAAAATAGGTCTCATTTCACCATAAAACTGTCAGTCAAATTTCCTTTTACCATGAAAATGAAGGTCACAGTTAAACAGCTACTGCTATACTTTTGTTCAGCTCTTTGAATTCAAGCTGAAAGTCTGCACATCAATCACATCGGGGTTGTCTTATTTTAAATGCGCTGTGGTGGTGTGCAGAGGCCAACAAACTATGGGCCTAATCACACCAAAAAAAGTTAACTATGAGTTACTGGTTATAAAGACAGTAACATAACACAATCGCCTTTACATCAAGGAAGAAAAGAATGGCTCACTGAAACCTGACCAGCCTCGGTCTACTTGGAATTTTGCTGATGAATTATTAAACATCAGCATGTACGATCCATGGTCATGAACCTTCAGTAGCTGCCTGTGGTTAGATGTAAAGCCTGCATCTGAAGCCATCCTGTGAGGTGAAATTACAGCATCTGAAGTGATATTGGGCTACTTTTAAGTCTGCCTGCATATTTAATGCTTAGTGTTATTAGTGTTCTAGTCAGCCATATGTCCAGGAGGCAAACACACAGTCAATGAGTCATTGTTGTGTTGTGACTGCTAACATATGCTCCCTTTTCTGTTACAGTACATCCAGTGGATCGAGTGGATGATCTCATTTATAGTGAAGCTGAATGGGGGGGAAATAAGCAGCATCACCAAATAAAGCTTCCTGGCTTTCACTCCAATTATGACAAAACTGCATCCAGGAATATTACTCACATTATAAAAGGTGGTTATTTGTTAAAGCAATACTAAAGGTCACTGTGTGCTCATCTACAATGAACAGACATTAAAAATTAATTGAAGCAGCGAGAGAGAAAAATCCATCCAGGAAAAGATTAGAGAAGGCTAACCAAACAGAGGAAGAGTAAAGAAGGTGTTATTTTCCATGAGTCGACTGCAGTAACAGTGCCCGTCAGGCTGTCAGGGAGCAAGTAATGAGCTCTACTTCTACCTGCTGAATATTTGATGTGCTTCTGTAATAGAGAAGAGATAAGCCAAGCAGGCCCCTGCAGGACCAGTGATTGGACCGTGCACACGTAGATTCAGGATGAAATTACCGTCACGCTGCAATAGTTATATAATGATCTTTATCTGATGCCACAACACACTCAGAAGGTTAGGACAGGTCTTAAATGAGTAGATCTTATATAATGTAAACTCACGATAAAGCACATTTTCCAACAGGTTAATGCAGCATATGTGGATATAAAACTGTGCGAGCAGGAAGACTGTAGAGGAGCGCATGATGCATTGGATTAAACCACGCAAATGTGTAAAAAGTTTAATGTAAGCAATTAGAAATTAGCAAGCCATAAGAAATTTTATTGTCACCCTAACATGTCCAGAGTACAAAAGTGTACACACTGCAGACTTCAGCTTTATTTGATCAAATGAGAGATAGCCTGGGCTGCAAACTGCAGCGTGTTTAATAAACGTGCCAGTTTGTGGAAACACTGCACTCGCCCCCCCCCTCGCCCTGCAAGATTACCAGCCTATCTCGTGACTGAAAGCACTTAAGAACACTGCCAAATAAAATGCCCTGTAGTCCTTTAATCAGTCCTTGTGCTTCACTGTACACCACTCAGGAAAATGTGGAAAATATAAAGCACTAATCATTGTGTACCATAACAACTATAATGAAATTTATAAATAGATAAATCTTTGTGTGCTTTACCAAAGTTATTCCTCTGAGGAAACACTGATTCTCTTTTAGCTTGCGTCATGACCTTTCCAGGTGACATTAGGGTGAAAGTCAAATAACCTCTGTTTGCTCTTCTGTTCTTAGTCACAGAGGAGGAGGAATGTTTGCCAGTGTGCTGGGAAGCAGAGATTTGATACCGGTTAAGAGATCTAGACTCAGACCAATCCTCTGAGTCTGCTTGCTGAGCTGAAGGCAGAGGAGCTTATCTCTATTGTCCAAACAGATGAAATCAGCGTTGATTTCGTGCCACTTCTATATAAAGCAGACGCCGCCACTGTTCTTTTCCATTTATTAATCTTTTATAATAATGAATCGCGTGCTTTTAAACAATGATTGCTGGAGGAAAATGTCACGAGGGAAAATAAATCTCTACAAAACGAGGAGTGCCTGCAGAGCAGAGCACACCCTTCAATATAAGATATCAGTATTGATATGTTGATAAAATGTCAAGTCCAATGCACTAAAGCCACTGAAGCTCTTTAAATGTGACTTTCAATTTAACACTTGCTAAAATGTTCTGTAGAGAAAAGAAATGTACCACTGGTGATTTCATAATAAAGTCCAAAAAACTGTTCATATTGCCCAGTTTATTTACACAGAACAGCAATTCTTAGTAAAATATAAAAAAGGCTGATTCAATGCAGAACGTGCATTCTCATGGATGATATTGTAGTCTGATATTACAGAGTCCCAAAACGTAGACACATGTAATCCCTTTCAGAGCAAGAAATCCCCTCTTAAAGATACAAACAGCTTCGCGGTACAGAGTGGCCGAGCCTCATACTGCTTTTAGGTCATGAGTTATTTCGCTAAATGAAGCTTTAAATGCTAAGGGGATTAGACTGGTGGGTGACTGCATTCTGATAGAAAAGGGTAGAAGAAAATTAAGTATTAAAGTATTCTACCCGCTGGGATACAAGCAATCTAGATTGGTTTTAAACCAGAAAGGCCTGAATTGCAGAACCTGCACAATCACAGAAAAAGGCTTCGGATTGGAAGTCCTGGTGCTTTCAATATTCACTTTGAGGATATGTGACCTGCACCAAATACTTTCAGTGATTTTGTTAGAATTTGTTATACTGCGACTGCATTTATTCTGAATATAAGAATATATATAACTGGATATATTTGCTCAGGATGTGCTACATGCCATTTTACTTTGTAGTGTTTAGTCATGAGCTTCCCTTTCATATTTGATTAATCTGTGGTATCTGGAACACAGCTGCCTCTGACTCTGCAGGTATAAATGCCATAAAATTATAGATGTCTGCATGACGTTGTGTGGGAGAGACATTCCAAATTGAGGCACTTAAAGCAGCTCAAGAGTCAGTTGAAGCTGAACCTATAAAAGGGTGTTTGAGTGTCAGCTAAGATTAAAGCGACCCATCAGAAATGTCAGTCAATACTTAAGCACTAAAAGCTTTTGAACAGTCGATGGGAGAGAATTTTTCAGAAACAGAAATGTTATTATCATTGTATTCTCAGTTATAAAGTTTGGTGTCAAGAGTATGGTGCAAGACAAAACTGCTTATGGAATGCTAGGGGTAAGCCTAATAAAAAAAATGCACTTTAGCATGTATCATTAATGATAAATGCATGATTCGTTTTGTACAGCAATGTACAATAAGGAGATTATGACAATCCCAGAGAATAAAGTTTAAATTTCATCCAGGGGACAACAATTTTTGCTTGACTTAGACAGAACTTTTCCATGCTGTCTGTTATTTCCAGTCTAGAAACCTAACCCACGGCAGACATAAGGAGACAAAGTTCCATCAATTAGGCAAATAACTCTCGCCTCCCAAAATCCAGAAATAATCTCAGGATCCTCTGGAGAAAGGTGTTCCGGTCACAGCAGGTGCTATATGTGTTCATTCCATCACCTTCTTTTTTCAGTTCACGTCTGTAAGGCAACTTCAAAATGATGATTGGCAAAAGCATTAGGGTTTGGAGATGTTATTACTATGTATTTAGTTTTTTATTATGTTCAACCTTTTCCTTTCCTCCACCAAGTGTAGTAATTAAAATTGGGTGACAACTGTAAACTATTCTGTGAACAGTAAACTAAGGGTGAACATCCAAGAAAAATTATGTAATTTATAAGAAATCTATTCGTGTTCTGTTTGATTTAGTTGACAGTAATGGTTTGTTTTTCGCTTCCTGCACTCCCCTACACTGATCCAAAACCCACAGTCACCGCATATCGAGGTTACAAATCATTACTGTGGAAGAATATCCATCTGTGATGGCCTAAAATAGCCAACATAATCCCTGCAATAGCTCACTGTTGAGGCAGAGATACAGGAAGTGGCACATCAATAAAACTGCCTAACCCAAGAGAGTGCAGCTCTCCTGTTACCTCCCATCACGTTTCTCAGAAGTCACAAATAAACACTGTAAATCAAACCAAACGCACCCTCCTGCTACACTGTTCAGAAAGCACCAATCTGAAATGTAATAATAAGGAATTAGTTTTAGAGCAGATAGAGGATTACATTGAAAAGCCTGGTGGTTACCATAAGTCTAAAGTGGGTTGTCAGCATCACGTGTACTCACGCTGCAGAGTGCTCTCTAGCTGGGAGCCTGCCTGTAGAAGGCAGCGGTAGCTCTCCATCTCCTCCTTGGACTCTTTCCTCAGCTCTCTGTCCTCCTGCAGTGAGGCTGGGCCCATTCCCTTCGTCTCTGACACGAGATCAGCCAGAGGAGAACTGACGCTACTTTTGGGAGGTAGTGACAGTATCCCGGGCCTCACATCCTCTTCACAGCCCCATGGCTCTCCATGGCCATTTATTTAAACAAGGAAAGTTTTCCCACCTCCCTCCGCGGGTCCCAAGATCCAGATGGGACAAATCCCCGAGGCTGCCGCTGGCTGTTCCTGACCTTGAGCTGCATAGAGCGCCTCCACACTGAGCAGCACAGCTGCGACAGGAGAACTGTCCACACAGGCAAACAAAACACCAGTATGTTGTCTCGTTGTCGCCCTGAGCGAGTGCGAGGTTTCCCCCTCCACCCTGCCCTGCTCTCAGCAGCAGTCAGCTACTTCAAAACAAACAGAGCTCCTCCATCTGGACTCTGCTGCCTCCCTCTCCCCTCTGCACTCTCCCTCTCTCTCTGAACATTAATGCGTCAGCTCTGCATCGCAGGGATTCAAGAGTCCGGACCCGATATAGTGCCAACTCCCTCCCAACTTTTCTGCTCTCTCACACACACCAAGCCTCCAGCATGTCACTGACTAACAGTAGCCTGAAGTGTTAGGCTCATGCGCCTATTTCTCCAGTGTCACTATAATATAGATGCACAAACTGAGGAGAATAGCGCCATTGATAAAAAATTAAAATCTTCCACACCCTCAGCCAACAAGTTTGACCCTTGTGAAACAGCCTTTAATACACAACAATCACATTCAAGCCGAAGAACAAATATGAAAGAGTGGCATTGTGTACATACTGTTGCAGAGTCTCTCTCTCAACCCAACTCCCCACAGCTCAGCCCACAACTCCCTGGAATAGATCAACTGCAGAGTGCAGAAAACGTGTAAATATGCATGTATGTAAATTTCTCCTGCACAGTGACGGCGATTTAATGTTTTGGTTTTTTTTAATCCGAGGCCATGCATGGAGCAGTGGGAGAGCAGTCACTCAGCTGATCCAGCTTAGCCTCTCAGTAGTGTCCCCCCCCCCTCCTCCTCCTCTCAGGCACACACATTCAGATCTTCCATCAGACAAAACCTGCTGACACAACATGTGGTGCAAAGCAGCACAACGCAGTTTGTATATCTTCAAAACATTCTGCTTTATTAAAGAACAACATCTGGTTTTTAATATAATTTTTTTTTTCAAAGAGGTACATTCAGCTTGGAGGTTTAGAGTGTTGAAGCTGGAGACCCAAAAGGCTGGAGGTGGCAAGATGTCCCTGCTGTGCAGAACTGCTGCTGTGCCCACCTCCACCCCTCACAGACAGGGTCCGCAACCACAAAGCCTCTCGTGCTTATTTTTTTTTTCTTTTTTTAACATTTTAATTTTATAAAAAAAAGTGGCTGGAAAAAGGTTGCATTAAAAATACAATCCATTCTTTTTACTTTTAATTTAGACAGGCAAAATTAGATTTGAACACATTTTAAGCTTCGAAAATAGCATTTCTTTTTTCCATATATATGTAACTTAAAGGTTTATATCTGGTAACAAAGCAGGCAGCCCCTTCTGTGAATCATCTTACATCCAGTTATCTCTGGCACAGGTCTTTAGGTGACCAAACAAAACAAAAACAAAACAAAACCCCTGCTTTCCATATAAATCCTTAAAGTCCCTTAGGCCTAACAGCTGCATTTGCCATTGTGCAGATGATTTTTTTTTTAAATTTATTTTTACAGCTATTTAGGTTACAGTCAGGGGGATTTAATACACAGCATGTTTGAGCAGAGATCAGCGAAGCAGTAGTTAAAATCATCATAAAGACATATCCTATACAGATTGGCATCTAAACATAAATAATCAGTAACAATGATCGCTTTCAACTTCAACTCGCAGTTAAACCACCAGACAAAAAGTAGTGGCATTGGGTCCGAGGCTAATTTTGGGATGCTGAATGTCTTCACAGAGGAGGGTCTGCCTGCCTTTGTGTACATAAAATTGACTATTTAATGACACTGGCACAGTCTCGCAGCAGAGCTGTAGTAAAACAGGCCAACTAAAATGACACAAAGCAGAACACGCTCCACAATTTAAAACTGAAAGTAATAAAAAATATAACATTTGTGAGTCAAATTACATTTACTTAATAAATATGCAAAGTACACAATATACACTTGTGAAGAAAAGAAAGGGCAAAAAAAAAAAAAGAAACAAACCAAAGCATCATCAAAAGTGTCTGAAATCATGTAATTATGTTTAAATGGAATGTATGAAGCACTACACACAAGTTAAAGGAAGAAACAAGGGGCCAAACGGTCCACTCCACAGAGTAGAGTCTCACAGTGGCATTAACTATTCCGATGAAGCTGGTTTTCTTTAATCCCCAACTTCAGCCTGACTGAGACAAAATAAGCAAACTTGTAAATGGCTAAGAATACAAATACCTCATTTAGGCTCTAGTACATGTGTGACATTATGTGTAAGGTGGTTACAGTTCGTGTAATGTTCTTCTCTGATATGTGCGTGTGTGCGCTCAGGCATATATATTCATGTGCCTTGGTGACCATCTACACAATGCAGAAACCAGTTTCCTTAATAGTGCAGAAAATGTCTAACAGAACTACATCAGTAAGGTTTCAAGTAATCCTGGTTTACATTACACACAGGCATTTGTGGCTATTCTCACCCAGTGCATTTGCCGTACACTTGTGTCACACCCATACAACAAAACATCACTTTTAGGGCACGTGAGTGCGGACAGACTCTGATCTTTTTGGCTTCGAGCAGACGCTAACAATATATCTCTACACTACTGCACATATATTAACTTTCTCATTCAAATTTGACTCTCTTGAATTATCTCCGAGGTTGGAATATTGGAGGCGACGCTCCAAGCAATGTCTCAGAATATCCTTAAAATCTCTAATGCATTTCTTAGCCTTACATAAACACACACAGTTTTTGGACTGAGGGTTGATATGACCTCTGCTGACCCCTCATATCTTAGTATTCAATATAAATGGCATTACTAGATACAAATAAACATCTACAACCAGAAAACCACTTTAACAGTCGTTAAGCTGATCTGAGCTGGGCTGAAATCACATTCAGTAACTTTTCATCCCAAATGATTTGGATCCGTTGAGGAGTGCGTTTACTAAAATATTTGAAACAATTTAAAACTTAACAGTTGAAAAGTGTAATAACAATAAAGGAGAATAACCTCTGAAACTGTTGATAATATAGTAAAAAAGCTTGTAGAATGCAGAGACTAAACGTTGGTGGAGTTGTGTGTTCTTTTGAGCCTTCTTTCATGCACATTTAGCATTCTTGAAGTGGATATTTCAGCTGCTTGTTAAAACAGCAGTTGAATAGAGCTACTGACAAGGCAGCCATGTATGCATTCATTCTATAGTAAGGTACAAAAAAAAGAAAGAAAACTCATGCCTGGGGTCTAAGTAGATACTGTATAAAAGAATGTAGAACACTGCTCTGTAAGCATGCATGAGAAGTGGCTGCTTTTTGAGGTTGGACAGCAAAGGACGGAGAAGGAGACACACAAGTCAAAAGACTTTTAAACCCTCTCAAAAGACCGAACGTGTTTCTTCTGATTTTTTTTCCATCTCCTCCTTTCAGATGGCAGACGTTCTTCCTTGGAACGGGACCCTGAATGAGGTTGACGTGACTGTTATGAGTCCTCTGTGCCTTTTAGTCGCGCTCCTTTAGATGCTTGTACGATAGTGGCATTACTGCTGCAATCTGAAAAGGATTGGGTGGGCAGATGTTACCTGATGTCTTCGTCATAAGTTCATACCAACCGAGACACCTTGAAATCACACCCCAAATGTATAAGCAGTGATTAACAACATGAAAGTCACTACAATGCCACCGGTTTCCTCCACCAGATTAAAAAAGAAATTAATAAAGGAAATGATCCCGATTTGATCCAAGTCTACTGAATTTCAGCAGAGACACTAAGCAAATACAGAAGGTTAGTGCTGACTCTTTGTTTACCTTGATGTTTGTAGGAGGGATTCCAATGATGGCTACAGGGAAAGTAGAAATGTGAGTTAAACTCCGCAAGCTGTCGTACAGTCTCTTTCTAAAAATGCGCAACCAGAGACCATGGTCAATAGTGACGGATATGTGCAACATTCAGTCCTTCATCCAGGGGGTGGACAAAAACAAAATGTAAACACCTAAGGATATTTAACGCAACATCACAACGCAACGGCTGCTTTTCATTATTCGCGGTGTTTACATTTTTTTGTGTTTGCTATTTTTTTCGTCTACCCCCTGTCATGAAGTAGCATTTGGGCAGAGCTTATGCCAGCATCACATCATGCACCGAGTCATGCAATGCACTCACAAATAAAACAGTAAGCAGACAGCCACGACCAGTTAGGGTTTGGATATACACACAGAAGACAGTGACCACGACAAATGATTAAACCACATTGTTACAAACAGAACAAATATGTCAGAAAACGGGGCCAAAATCATAGACCGGCCCTGCTGTTTCACACTGTTGGGTAAAGAGGATGAAACCACCACAGACACATCACACACAGACACTCTTACAAGGTCCAAAAATGCGAGAGGCTGAAAGAAAAATTTGGATTTGAAAGCACATCTGCGCATGCAGAAAGGTAAATACAAGCTGGGCATCGAAAGGGAGGCTGAAAGGAGCACGAGTTTGCACAAAACAAACAAACAAACAAACTTTTGAAACATTAGGTCAATGGATGCCTTCACATATCAAGTGAATGCACCATTTGGTCAGTTTAAAAGAAACGATTAAACAAAACAAGAGGCATGGAAAAAGTGCATCTCTTCAGCCAGCCAATATGAGCCTAACACAACACACAAGAACACAAAGAGTCTAAATAAATGCGGCCTTTATGCTACCGTCGTTGATTTCCTTGTTAAAACTCAAAGTTAGAGATGAGAGAGCTGCTGGACTGGTTGACTGGGGGAGCAAATCACTGATTGGCTTAAATGGCCCGAAAGTTGGCTGGTACCTGTTTAACTGACAGTATTGGACTCATCTGAAAAGGTTCTCATGAGCAGGGGCCTGGCTGACGACCGGGGTGACTGGATGCCCCCTGCGCTTGACTGAACCAGCTTCTTCTAGAAGGGTGAGGCAAGAGACACCAGTGACGACACTACGCTGATAATCACACACATACTTTGCCTTTCTCACCATCTTGTGCTCTCTTTTGCACACAGACATAAATATATAAACAAAGAACAATTAAAGACATTCAGAAAGACTTCAAAGTAGACATGTAGACAATGAAAATTAATCCAGGAGCCGTTTGAGACAACCCTTCTAGGAATGATCCGTTTTGGAAGCCCTTTAGTCGACTTTTTAATAGGTTCAAATAATATAGGGTTACTATTCTTGCAAATTTCACAAAATAAGTATGTCTTAAGACATATACAAACACACACACACACACACACAAACATACACACACACACTGTCAGGATTGAGGATCCAGGATGAGGTTGTGAATTTGGGCCTCATGCAGGTACGTTTGGATGCTGTGATGTGCTGCAGCCACCTGACTGGACATGCGAAGGCAGCAGGCAGTGGAGCAGCAAAGGCAGCTGGGAGGAGACACTGACTGATACAACTAGGCAGACAAGCATGGCAGACTAACAGCAAGTTTTTAGCATGGACAACCTGTCCCACTCCACACTGCTGGAAGGGGTGGCAGCGAGCCATTCTTCCCAGTGTCACAAAAAAGAAAACCCCTCAAGTCGAGGTTTAAAATGGTGCCTTCCAAGGATAGCATTCCTGATATGTGACACGGTACATCAGAAATTTGAAATGTCTGACCTGATCTGTCCAAGCAAATTGGACTATTAAAATCTACAAAACAGCAGCCTGAGTTCTTATAGGTGAAGAAAGGAGTCGAAACAGTGGGAGAGGAAGGACACAGAAGTAGGAAGCAGGCAAGTGGTGCACAGACACAGAAATTCTCAAGTATAAGAGCTGACAAAGAAAAAGAGACCTCAGTCACTCCATGAGAAGCTGTGAGAGCTAGCGGTCTGTGACAACATGAAGATAGTGGATGTCCCAGAGGAAGGAAGGCGATGTTTCATCTTTAGGGAGGATTGTCCAGAGAAGTAAGAGAGAAGGAAATAAGAGGGTGAGATAGTTATGAGTGTGTTAAAGAGCAAAGCATTAGCACTAGTTAGGAAAAAGTAGGAAAGGTGAAAAATGAGCCTAAAAAAATAAAAATACGTGCACCATACGTACGCAAGTACTGAATATTGTACAAATCTGCAAGTTATGTGGCTCTCCACAAATATGAGTAAAACCTCTCATTTAGTTTCTTACTTCTCCCCCACCCAAAAAAGAATAAAAATAAAGTCTAGACACAATAACAAAAACCCACAGAAAAGAGCAAGAATACCAAAAATCATTTCCATGTGCTTGCAAACACATTAGAGAGCCCACTGAAATGACAAAATATGCCTTTGACAGACTTCTGGTGGAAGTTAAATAAAAACAGCCTTCAGAAATAATTCAACAACAGGATGCACAGAAACTTAAAAAAAGTATCTCTTGGTACACAAAATATGTTTTGGGGGTGGTTGGCTTGTTTTTTAGGTTTCTTTTCAAACCCTTTCTTCTCTCAGTAAACATATCTCTTAAAACACTCTTAGCTTTTGGCAAACATGTGCAACGTAATATATGACAAGCTAACCGACCCCCTAATATAAACCTGCATAATGTACGTCATGCTTTAAATAGCCAGCAGAGGGCTGTAATAGATCAGATATTTGTGCTTGAGCGTTTGCTGTCAAACGTCGTTTTTCCACTTCTGAATAATGTCAGATGTAATTTACCCCTCCCACCATCTTCTTCCCAATGATCTAACACCAAAGCAGAGGAAGTGTGAAGAGAGGCAAACAGCTCTGTAAAGATCTGCATTGCTCTATGTTAGCAAAGCCATGCAAATGTTACAATCAGCAATCGCATTAAAATTCCTTGATTTAAATCCTTCCCTGAACAGTACTTCATAAACCTCTATCAGTTCAACTCCATCAACTCCATCAACAAAAATAACCATTAGCAAAAATAATAATTAGAAAAGAATGAATAAAGGGAAGGGAGAGAGAGAAAGAGAGAGGGAGACAGAGAGAGGGAGTTATAGTTATAGTTACCTGTCGAGCGTAAGGGCCGCGGGGCTTGCGGAGCACCACGTAGAGGATTTCTGGCAATAGGCTGAGCAGGATGAGCACGATGATGACCAGCCAGGCTGACACCGAGCTCAGCATGTTGGCAAACACAAAGTATAACCGTTGCTGTCTCAGGAAAGGCCTGGGGGAGAGATGACACTTCAGTTTATACTGTCTGGAGGAGATACATGTTTGACTAGAATGAAAAGGCCAACTAAAATGACTACAATAAGATTTGTTTTTGTTAAAAAATCCTCAGTTGAATTCTAACCATATTACTCCTCCCCAGAAGAAGCTGAAAAACACATAGAAAGCCAGGGAACCCCATATCACAAAGTGGTTTATCCATGTCCAGTGCCGTGTATCCAGAGCCAACTAGAATGTCGGAGAAAAGAAAGTAGTAAGAGATCTTTTAAAAAACATATAAAAGAACTTTGCAAAAGACATGACTAACAAAATATCTGCTTCAAACTCATATGTCCACTGTAATGATAGACGTTTTATAAATGTCAAAATAAACAGGGGTAGAGCTTACCTTTAGTGTTACAGTGAAAACAAGGATGGTGAATACAATCGTTCCATATGACCAGTTCCCAAAAGCCTAGAGTCAAAACAATAAAACAATCAGCAGTTGTAGTTAGGAGACTGTAGATATGAAACCTGTTTAGAAGCGGATTTAAATCAAACCTGGCCATTATCCTGCAGGGCTGGGTTGCTGAACAAAAACCAAACACCAAAGAAGAAGACCAAGCCGTGGAAGACTCCCAGTAATGTCCAGTAGAGAAATGGTCCCCACCGTAACATGGCATTCTTACCGATCTGTCTAAAGATTTGAAAGAGGAAAATTAACACATTTATTTAATTACGGTGTCTTTGTGTAACATTTCCTGTTTATCACACAAAAGGACAACACCATTATATAACATATTAATGGTGGCCAAAAAAGTTACTGTGTAAATACAAATGAGCTACCATCAAAATTAGTTAACTAAACTTCACCAGAAGAACTTTGTAACCTGTAAATATTTATTTTTACTTTTTTTTTTTACTTTTAAATTACGCCTGAACCCAAACCGGGACTTTATTTAGTAACAATGTTGTATTGTATAGTAAAAGCATACAATATAATTCTGTACCTAAATTCAAAATAAACACATTAGTCTCCGGATAGTGTTACCAATTCTTAAAACAGTGAAGTGTTGCACAGACACAGAAATCCGTCCAAGTCTAGATTTAAAACATAAGAAAAGAATCTCCTAATCTCAATTACTGTGGGATTTGTGATGAAAGGACAGAACATAACAAGCACGTCTACTTTTATAACCCAGTTTACCTGTAGAGGGTAGCATTTTCCAGGAGCATCTCAAGGGAAATGTGCTGTTCGAAAAGACTGTAAGCCAGGATGGGCATAGAGGTGAAGCAGATGTTGTACATCGTCAGATAGGCCGCATCATACAGGGGCTGGGGAGGATGGGAGCAGGAGGAAAGGTTGACGAGGGAAGGGTTGGTAAGGAGGAGGAGGGGTTAATATCACGGAGAGGACACAACTCATACACACAACCATAACTTGAGCACAGAGCACGTCATGAGCAAGCTTATATACATCTTTCATGTGCTTGTGAAAGATCTATATCAGAGACCAGAGGCATGATGGGGAAACCAAAAAAAACAACAAAAGAAAAGAAAATCACCTTCACCTTTCACACAACAATATAATCACTCAGTGATCTTAAAAAGGATGACAGATGTCATAATAATAATAAAATGAATCCTTGTGCTCCAAAGAATTTCCATAAGATTTTTCTCCTATTTTAATTTTTTTTCCCTAAAACTAGGAAAACAAACAAATGCCACCAGGATTCCAAAATATCCATATTGTGTCATGGTGTATTCGTGGTGGCACAACATGACCGGCGTGAGTTTTGCCTATTTATATTGTATGACGATAACAAAGTGCATACATCCCAGGGACAGTGAGGGAAGGGGATTGTGAGGACAAGAGCTGAGCAATCGGGAGCACACAGAGGTGTGATTTTAGGGAACACTACTTCCTTTCATGTTCAGAATGTCTTTGAACCTCAATTAGATATACTTACTTGCTGGGAACAGCCGCAGAAGAACTGGTACAAAAACTGTGGTAAGATGAAGCAAAGATTCTGCAGGCGAACAGAGAATGAAAACAGGGTCATACAGAGTTCAACCTAAAAAAATCAGTCTCGCATGTAAGACTATATGTGTATGAGCGTGTGTGTATCCATCCATTTCCTTCTGCTTATCCAGGATTCAGGATTTCGGTGGAGGTAAGGTTGTCAGTCTGTGGCTAGACTGACAAAACGAGACAATCACTCATGCTCACGTTCACACCTGCCAATTTAGATTGTGGGAAAGCCAATGAGGCCACGCACAAGCAGGGAGAACATGCAAACTCCAGTCAGCCAGTGGATCCAAACACAGGATCTTCTTGTTGTGAGGTGACAGTGCTAACCACTGCACCAGCACCAATATAGGATTTTTAAGATTGAAACTGGTATTTACTGATTTAAAAATCCAATGTATGGGTCAATATTTCCTTTCATTCAGGCACACGAAATGCCCACATATATCACAAACCTTTTTTATCTGACAAAATGTAACCATGCAGGTTAAACATTAACTTGTTTTATTTCCAAATCAAGATGCTGATTAGCCATTTACACTCTGATCATATGATCGTTGTGTTTGTAGCATTCCAAACATGTGTTTTCACAAAAGGGAAGTTACAACTGGTGGAAAACATTGAGACCCATATTATGGTCACGTTATGCTGATACTGACATATCAGCAAAAAGCTAATATCAGTCAAACAATATATCTGTCAGGCTCTAGTGGGTGCTCCTGGACACAGAATCTCCACTTACCTTATAAAAGAAATACTGCACCAGGTGTGCAATGCGAACATAGTAGAGATGCCCATGTCCCAACAAAAGTTTCTTGAGGTGCTTCAGTTTGGGGATGGCATAATCACTGTTCCTCACCGCCTGTCGACCCTCTTTCCCCTTAATGCCTGAAACACCAAGGCCCAAAACAAATTACACATTTCTGCACTCCACTACACATAGAAGAGTAATTAAAGATGGCTAAATCAGCTTCAGCATCACATTTCTTACCAATGCCTACATGAGCTTCCAAAATCATGCTGACATCATTGGCTCCATCTCCAATGGAAAGCGTGATTGGGCTGCCTTTGGAGTTCTTCACCATTTTAACTATCTATAGATAGATTGATACAGAGGCACAACAGCTGAATAAAATCAGAAATAATCTTTCACTGTGAAAGAAATCAATTCAGTTTTATTTCTCAGCTTATTAAATCGCCGTTCTGACCTGCGCCTTTTGTAAGGGAGCCATGCGGCAGCAGAGCACAGACGTGCAGTTTTGACATATCTGCAGAAATAGGTCCTTATAGTCATGTAAGTTGTTTTCAGAGGATGAGTTGAGCACCATCGACAGAGTGGCTCCATCTACTATAAAACCATAATCCTGGCTGGACCAATTCCTGCAATACAGAGTAGACAAATAGTTTAATCGTTACTAATGTTATTTTTTTTAACTATTGCCCCACCACCCCCTAATAAAAAGCCAAAGAATAAAAAAAATCAGAATAATGTCAGTACATAGCACACAGGCTTTTGTAATCTAAGGTGCCAACCTGGCAACACGTGTCTTTGCTGGTGGTGCATCCTGTACAGTTTTCTTGTGGTACTCGAGCAAGAGGTCGTGCAGTCGGTCCTCACGCCTTTTTCCTGGAGACTCTAGAGTACGCACTGTTAGCTCCAACAGCTCTGTGTTCCTCTTGAACAATCTGCAAGCATAGCAGGTGGATTTGGCTGTCTCCATCTTGTCTCCTGTTAAGACCCACACTTTAATACCTGCTCCCTGCAGAGCCTCCATAGTCTCTGCTGCCTCCTCTTGAAGACTGTAGAATAAGAAACAGAAAAGGATCATTATGACTACTAGCAGCAAGAATGCCAAAAATTATGTGTAGTTTATATACATGTGTTTAAAAAAACCAAACAAAAAAACAAAAAACAAACAAAAAAAACAAACAAAAAAACAAAAACAAAAACAAAAACAAAAAAAAAGCTAAGCTAAATTACCAAATTTCATGTCATAATGGTTTGGGAAGGCGTGGTCCTTTAAAAGTGTGAGTGTTTGTGTATTAAATGATGAATAAATGGTGATTCAGGAATATGTTTACTTCCTCTGTTATAGGCAATGCATTGTTTTAGACCTAAACGTTTGCAATTTATGCAGTCTATTTTTAAAAGCTGGAATCTTTGATTGTAGGTCATAACTTAACCACAAGATGGCAGTGTGAGCTTAAATTAAAACGCTCTAAAAAGAAGAGCTTTTAGCTGATATCAAACTAATCAGAT